GTTGGTTTTAAAGAAAGTATCTTTCCAATTTGTATGGCCCCATTTGTAACAAATTATTTAAACTGCTATTGAATTTTTTGTCACCTACATCTTCATCTTTCTTTCAATCATCAGTAATAGCCGTAAGTAAAAATCTTTTCAACGTAACAATCACAGCCGTTTATCGTTCTCCATGTCCTTATCTAAACTTTTTAAATGTTTATATTCTCAAATTGCCTCGTACTCTGATATACAACACATCCTCAAATAACCATTCATCCGACAACAGTCCTGTCTTAATAATTCTATTTTCATTAAAAAAGTATCCTTCACATCCTGTAATTCACTTCGCCACACAAATATAAACCCCCACGAGGGGGTCGAAAAGTTAAAATTACCATGCCAAACACCACAAATCACACAGCCTACTAACGTACAGCATTAAATCAAAACACTTATTACAGAGAAACCGTATGGGCGACCCATAAAACATTGACCTATTCCTCTGATAAAAAGACCTTTAACATATTGACTCTCTTACTAAAAACCGAACTCAAAAACTTTAGGACAAACTCTTTCAATATTACACATAATCAATTAATGACAACAGACGACAAATCTCGCTTGGCTGCCACTAATCTTACATATTTAAGTAATTCAAAGTTATAATTTAGTATATTGAAGTTAGAGTTAAGTAATTTAAAGAAAATTCAATTCGAAATTTATGGATAAGTCCAACGAAGCGTCTAATACAAAGATTGTATTTGAATTACACTGAAATCCACACATTCGGCCCTTACATTTTTGGAGTCGATATTCCAGTTTCTCTACAAACATTGTTTTGGTTTAAAATTGTAATAACATATTTGCATTTAATTTTAAGTGTCAGTGTTAATTATACTATAGTACAGACAAGAGATATTTTGTAATGTATATAATTTTTACTCTTTTAAGGAGAAAAATAAAATTTTTGATGATACGAATTGGCATTCAAAAATGTTTGCTGTTATGCAGATTTTTTTTTTTTTGCATTGGGCAGAATGAAGACATTAAAAAAGTAGACATTAAATAGAGTAAAGCTACATATCTATGATTACAAAAAACCCAAACAAAATCCTACAGCACTGGCTACCCACCATTTTGACCAACACAATTTCGACGTTTACAATCCAAAAATATTCCACACAGATAAACAAACTTAAACGTTTTAGAAATGGTTTACATCAACAGGGATAAACATAGCATCAATTACAGAATAGACACATGTAAACTCAGTCGCAGCTACGCTAATATCATTAATCAAATTCAATATCGATAATATACATATAGCATCATCATATCACACAAAACATATAATATAACATATAAAACAATAATCACATGCCACACATCAAAATTTCTCCTTATTCTAATTCTTCAACAATTTGGCTTTCCTTTCCATAATTATCCCCGTCTATATAATCCTGAAATTATAATCAGGCCGAACCATTACCCATTTTTTCCCATTGTCGTCTCCTTTCACCTCAAAGAAGCCGATTCCTCCTATAAAAATGCTTTTCTATCCCGACTTCCTTTCCCACCCCTTCAAAATATAATATTCAAACATAAAACATCAATATCTCACTGGCACTCTCAACACAACACGCAATAATGACAGACACATCAACACAGAAAACAAACACTCTGAGTACAAATACTTTGATTGAATCTAAAATTTCCATCATTGTATAAATCCATTTTTTTAATCAAAAATTTTTCTAGCATTGTATACTCATTTTTTTCAATCTAAAATTTTCTGTCATGTATAAATTCATTGTTTTAAACTAAAATCTTCTAGCATTGTATACAGTCCCTTTTTTAAACTAAAATTTTCTAGCATTATATAAATTCATTTTTTTCAATCTAAAATTGTCTGTCATTGTGTAAATTCATTTTTTAATCTAAAATTTTCTAGCATTGTGTAAATTATTATTTTTTTCTTTTAATCTAAAATTTTCTAGCATTGTATAAATTCATTTTTTTCCATCTAAAATTTTTTGTCATTGTATAAATTCATTTTTTAATCTAAAATTTTCTAGCATTGTATAAATTATTATTTTTTCTTTTAATCTAAAATTTTCTAGCATTGTATAAATTCATTTTTTTTCAATCTAAAATTTTTGTCATTGTATAAATTCATTTTTTAATCTAAAATTTTCTAGCTTTATATAAATTATTATTTTTTCTTTTAATCTAAAAAAAAGTATAAATTCATTTTTTCCACATCCTACTTGTATTTTTAAAATTTAAATGATGTTTATAAATTCCAGGCCCTGAAGATGATCTCAATAAAGATCGAAAGTTGGCATGATATAGAAAATGTTTTTCTAAAACCTCCGTTACACCAGACCCCATCTCACGATTTCCGAATAGACATTAAAAAAGTTTGTTTTTGATCTCTATTTAAGATTTTTTTTGCATTTTCAATCTTGATGAATCCCACTAATGTTAAAAGGCTTACCGTGTCGGCGTGTTCAAAGGTTTTAAACCCATTAGAGAAAACGCATGCAGTGTAGTTGTGAAGAAGGTACTTAGAGGCAGACTGTTGATCCCATTACGATTCCCATTTCCAGCCGCGAAGGTACGATGACAAGTGGTTTATATTCTCGAACGGTTCCCGCGGTTCGTCCACCCTGGTAACCAAAGCTGGCCAAAAGCTCGGTTTTTTTATTGGAGTCATTATTCATAAAAAGGGAAATAAATACACATTTAGCTCTTTTATGCGTTATAATAAGATGCATTATAATTTGGGTAAAAATATATGCATTATTTGTAGAATAGACTAAACCCGCATGGCCGACGAGTGTTGCGGGAATGTTGTTCCTTTGCGCCGTTGCTTTTGTTGCAATTTTAGAAAAAACAAAATTTAACTTATTAATTCGAGTTTAAAGAATGCCTTTGTTTTTACTAATTTGTCAAAGTAGTAGCTTAGTAAATGAATGAACAACGAACACAGTAGGTATTTATGTAGGAGGAGGAGTTAGTTATACAAGGGGCAAAACATTCATAAAAAACAAAAACTATTGCATTGAGACATTATTACATAAATATAACCAAGCGTAAAATTAATAACCTTTTACTAAATCAACTCATAATAAACTTAAAAGATCTGAAAAATTAAGAAACCATGGGTAAAAATATTTTCCCGGGAATGTGCAACAAACTATTGAAAAAATGTGATTCATTACAATTTACATTACAATTCATTACAATTGAATTTCAACTTTTGTACATAATTAAATAATTATGAACAAATAAAAATAAAATAAATAAATTTAATTTTAACTTAATAGTAAATAATTGTTTAAAAATTTTAAGTTTTTTCTGTGTTAAAAATATTAATACATATCTTTGTCGTAAAGGTCATTTTGTGTTTTGGATAAAATTAATTAATGTCTAAATTGGTACGTGAATAATGTAGGTCAAGTTATTTGGAACTTGTTGCCCAAATGCGACACTCAACTGTCACATGTGTAATTCGCATATTCGTTAATTTAATCTGCAAACTCTGTCAGCAAAGCAAACTAAGATGAGCTGTTTTGCATTGTAGAATTCTCAATGTTTCCTGTGTATTGTAAAAATTGTTATATTAGGTAGTGTAATATCAAATTAATTACTTTCGAGCAATTTTAGACTGAGCTATTGTAAAAGACATATTTTTTAAAATTTTATGATAGTTACAGTAACTTATAAAAAATATATCTAATTATCAATATCATCTTTTAATTCTATGTAAGTGAAAGTTTGCGTTGTCGATTTGTGAGTTCATTGTAGGCGTTACGTTCAAAGGTTGTTTTTGTACTCTTTTTTTATTATCAAGTTGCAATTAGAAAGTCAACCTAAATTTCAAGTTTAAATATCGTAAAATTTTAGTCGGTAATCTATTTGAACACGTGCTGGAAGTAATTCTGTGTAGACTGGCACTAGTAACTTCGGCGTACTTTATTTTGGTAAACTTCTTAGCTTCGTTCTCTCATAGTATATCCCCTAGCGCAGAGAAATAAAATCTATGTAGGGTAAACGTAATATAATTAATTCTTCGTTAAATCACGACCCTATTATAATTTCGTGGAATCAATAAATTTTCAAAAATATTTCAAGTTTTTTTTATCACACATTTATGGACATTGAAAGATAAGTTAAACAGCCAATGGCAGTTAATCTAACTTATTGAGTTAATTATACATATATTGCCGTATTGGGTTAAGGTTACTGTACATTCGGAAATGTGTTTTGTGCTTCGGCTCAATGATATATTGCCATATTCATCAAATGGGGCTTGACTCAGACTCAGCTGTGTCCAATTACCACACACCCTCTCGCCAGTATAAACTTGCAATCCCTCATCCCTTGTCGCATCATCCACCAAATCCAATTTTTACACGAATTGATACAAATTTTGGTGACGATAAAAAAAAGAACTGGGCAAAAATCGACGGCCTGTGAGAATGTTAGAGTTAGTTTTTTAAAGTTATTTGATTATTGATTGATTAATTTTATACGTTTGTCGATTGTAACTTTTGTATCACTCAGTAAACAAACCATGTTTTATTTTTCAAATTATAATCATAAAGAAATTAACAACCATAAAATAAACTATCCGTCAACCCGTCATGTGCAATATTGTAGCAGGAAATCAGTGTAAACTGGATTGTAATTAACACATATTTTGTTTAAAACAACTGTACTGGAAAATAAATAATAAGATAGATAAATGTTACTTTTTACACGGTTTAGAACGCGAATACGAAATGATCGACTAGAGAGCTTTTGAATTTTGTGTTCCTCAGCTTTATGTTCATCTATAATTAATTATTCATCACCAGACAATCAGCATAATTTAATCAAGTTCTTCTTACAACACAGGAAATTAGTCTGATTTAACAAAATCTCGCCCACGTTTTTATAGTTTTTGCTAGCTCAATCCAAATTAAATTTTAGATTGAAGAAAAAGTTTTTATAAGTATATTTTTATTACTCACTCAGTGTTGTAAAGTTGATGAATTGCGCGTCATAGTTACAATCCTCGTTAATGCTTTCAATGATGTAATTAATTTCACACTGGTACATCCCTTCATCCTCAAGCTCGACTTTGTTTATCAGCAAGAACAACTGAGTCTTGTTCGCTTCGTACTCAAGTTTCGACCTAAAAACATAATAAAAACAATTAAACGCAAAATTAATGAGTACAATTTGGAGTGAAAAATAGAAAAACATGATTATGGGCAAACTATTTTATACATCGTGCAACTTAGCAAGAAATCACGTTTGTCATAAATAAGGAAAGTTAGAAAAAGAATAACGTTTTCATCGTTTTTAACTATGGGAAAATATAAATTTTTATTTCCGAACAACTAAATGTAAATTTGCACGACTTTACGTTTAGATTTTATATCAAATTTAATATTCACGATGATATGGACGTTCTTATCAACATAACGTAAAAATTCTGCGATATACACACTTTTACAAATGTTCAAGGAATATTTAAGAATGAGTATTTTCAAACATGGAAGCTATAACTGTCTTTATACAAAGAACTTTTGAAAAATACGTTATTGCCATGAGAAACTTGGTTTGCACCTCTGCTTGTTTTACATGAAAAGTTATCAAGTATGTACACTAGTTTAGAGTTTGTGAACTTTCAAAAACATGGTGATTTTCATTAATAACAGAAATCGAATTTTTCCACCTATAGCTTGTTCCATTATCAAGAATGAAAGAACAAGTTTTGCTTCTCGCCTTGCAACATGATGTAGAACATAACCGATATAATCTTTTCCGAACCATGTTTAATCATCTTCTTCTCCCAAAAGGTGGTATCATAAATGAATTCGAATAAAAGTGAAATACACAAACGAATTAAATTTTGATATAATATTTTTTTTGACAAAAAGGAAACAATGATATAGTAATAAATTACTGTCTTTTACTTCTGAAAATTGCTTTACCCCTTATTTTATAATCAAAGATATTGAAATTACATCTTTGACTTAAATTAATCAACTCGACCTGTACCACACATTGTCGAAAATTTCAAATTTAATAACTAAACTCACAACTAGTAAGTGCAACTGGTCAATCCAATCAATAATTTTCAATTAGCACCTTACAATAAAGGTCAATAAACAGCAGCTTCATTAACCTTTTCTAATGATCGCTACAGCTTGTAATAATTGCCCATTGGTGGAGGGGATATTGATGATTTATTGAAGACGACTTTTACTTATGATTTGGATTAATTTGTAGACATGTAAGTGTGAAATTTTTATAACTGTATTGAATCGGAAACCAAAGCGATTTTATAAGTATAGGAGAAAACTGAATCATTTTAATAAAGCATTATCATTTCATTCATAATAATTTTAAACAGCGCAATTATCCGGGAACTCGAGTTTTAATAAGCAACGTTAACGTATTTTGAGACAAATTTTAAATTTCAGAACGAAAGAAATGTATACAAATTTTCTATAATAAAAATATTTTAATTAATACTACTAAACAAAATTATTGTCAACTTCAACTTCAGCTTTTTTCCGTCAACAAAACATCATTCTAACATAAATGTTCGTTTAATGTTTTGATTTCTAGCGACCATTATGAACTCCGTTCAAAAAGGCATATAAGATTATTTATTTTGAAGGTTTGGGCTTCTGAAAATTGAGGGAACGTCATATGATGGTGCTTCTGTAATCAGTCGTGAGTACCTTGTGACCTCTTTATACGTGTTTTACTCACAAAAGTACAAAACCTGTAGGAGTACAATGAAATAAGTTGTATGAGCGATCGACAGATACTCGTTTTGATTCAATAGACAAAGGAAAACATTTCTTTAAAAGATTTTATTTCAGTTCCATTCAATTCATACAACTGCAACACCCACAAAATGTCTTCTGTCATTTGGCTTATAGAGCTATTTATTTACCGCTAAGTAGTAAAAATTATGAAAAAGAAATAGATGTAATTAAATATTTAGCGTACAAAAACGGTTTTCTTCCAACATTGGTAGAGAAAATAATTTAAAAAAAAACGGTTAAAGAGATTAGCATTGGATAATGCAACAATCTTGCAAAAAGAAAAGAACCCCCTTGAGTTTTATGCGATTACTTACTTAGGTAAAGTATCCGAAAAAAATATCAAAAGAATCGAAAAAATAAGGAAAAAAGGTAGAATGCAAAAATATCATTCCTTTAAGGGATATCTTATCCAGACCAAAGGAGAAAATGTGGACAAATGGTCTAGCAGTGGTGTATACAAAATCAAATGTGAATGTAATTTCACTTACATTGGTCAAACGGGAAGAACACTAAAACGTAGGATAAAAGAACACCCACATCTAGCTCGCAATCGGAATTGACAGGCCACATTGTCAGAGGGAACCACAACTTTAAGCCCGCGGATAAGACGGAAATACTACATGTACTAAAAAAAAGGAAAAAGGTTTATAGTTTGAAAAGAAGGAGGTCTTAAAAGCGAAACAGGATAAAAACTGATTTGTTGAATCTAATGATATAATTCTATCCCAGTCCAGCAATGACGTTAATTCCTCAGTGGCCACACAGGTTACTTCTCTAACATTCAGAGACAACACATTATACGTTATACAACACGTTATTGTCGGAAATTGTATAAGCCTGTGCAAGAAGTTTTTTTAAGAAGCACAATATAACAAGTGCTGTGGTGTTTATGGCTTAACAATTATATATACCAGTGTATTTGTGAGTACAAATTTACTGTTGTGTAAAAATTGTTTAAAACTGGCAGACATGTTGATTATAGGACCTTGAGAATGGCCCTAAGGGTTAAAGCCAGTCGGTAATAAAATTAATTAAAAAATTAATTAAATATTGAAAGGCTTTTTATTGTAGCCTGACATCATCAACCTCCTAAACAGAGTATTAAAGCTGGGGCCCACAACATCCCACCACTTTATCGGAAATTGTCCTTAAATAAAAGAAAGTCGCTCAATAATATTATGTGTTGAAGTAATTTTCGCTGTAGAAGGCATTGCATATAATTCTTTCTTAAAATTTCATTTTTTATGTTTAAATAAGGAATGGCCCATGAAGACCATTCCTGAATCACTTAAAAATTCATGAAATAAATTATTGTATCGGGAATAATAATAATAATTATAAAAAATATTTTCTTTTCTTTTTCTTCTTTCATTATTATTTAATATTCTTTTTTTCACATCCTACATGTATTTGTGTAATTTAAACAATGTTTATAAATCCCAGGTCCTGAAGATGATCTCAATAAAGATCGAATCGACGACCTCTGCTTCTACCATTCCGGTAAGGATTTGGCGGAGGTCGGCGGCAGGGTGCAATCAGCGATAGACGTTGTGGCTCCTAGAGCCGAGGAAACCGGCTTCTCCTTCTCCTCGTCGAAGACGGTTTGCGTCCACTTTTGCAGATTAAGGAGGGCCCATAGGCCCCCACAGCTCTGCTTGCTGGGCGCCCCCCTTCGATATGTGGAGACGGTACGGTTCCTCGGCCTCATATTTGATAAGCAGTTGAGATGGCAGCCACACATCGACGCCGTCGAGGTCAGAGGCAGAAAAATCCTCACACTGCTGAAATTTATTGGTCACTTTAGATGGGGAGCGGACAGGGAGACCTTGTTAAAAATGTTTGACTCGCTGCTGTGTTCGAGAATCTTCTACGGATGTATGGCCTATTCCTCGGCCCGAAAAACGCGTCTGAGAAAGCTCGATAGGCTCTACTACCAGGGTCTCAGAGCGATCTCGGGAGCGTTCAGGACCAGCCCCNAAAAAAAAAAAAAAAAAAAAAAAAAAAAAAAAAAAAAAAAAAAAAAAAAAAAAAAAAAAAAAAAAAAAAAAGATCGAAACGTTGGCCCGATAAAGAAAATGTTTTTCTAAAACCTACATCACACCAGTCCGCATCTCACGATCTCCAAATAATAAAAAATATTGTTTGTAAGTGAATTAAGCAACTAATGATCAATATCTTCAGTTTGTAGCTTTCTTGTCTTGCTTTGCGGTAAGGTTTTAAAATATCATCCACCCTCTTACAACCTCCCCGGGTTAAATTAAATTATCGCATTCTTTTCATTAAAAATTTCATTAAAATTCATCGAACCAAAAGTTATTTGTTCAATGAATTTTTTTACGAGCGACAGTAGGAAAACTATAACAAATCGCGGAAGCACTGTTGAAATATGACGTCTTAAGTTCTACATTTTCCAACTTGTCACAAATGAAATATTCAAACCCTTTGTTTTACCGTCCCAGATGTAGAAATTAATTGGTCTGATCAATTATCAGTGCACTGGACGTAATAAAGCATCGAATTAATTAACTTGTTATACTCAAACAAACTGAGACATGATGAATTAATAGCATTACTTTCGCACTAGCCTAGCATTATTTTTTATATTTGGACAAGTTGGCCAAATATTTAATATCTGAGTGAGCGATATTTTAAATATTTTTATGTTTCTTGGTATAAAACTTGGACTAAAGTGTAGCAATCAAATAAATGCTCATTATCTACAGTGTTATTTATTAACGTTTTATAAGTTTCATCGGAACTCTCAAAGACTTCTGGGTTAAAAGTAAGTGTGTGGTGTTTTGTTAATTAATGATTATTTGAAGATCGTGAGATGGGGTCTGGTGTGGCGTAGGTTTTAGAAAAACATTTTTTTTTATCGTGCCAAGGTTTCGATTTGGGATTTATAAAGATTGTTTAAATTATGCACATACATGTAGGATGTGAAAAAATGAATTTAAACAATGCTAGAAATTTTAGATCAATCGAAGTGTTTGTTTTCTGTGTTGATGTTTCATTATTGTGTGTCGTGATATTGCTGTTTTATGTTTATATTCGTTGGATTTTGAAGGGGTGGGGGAGGAAGTCGGGATAGAAAAACATTTTTATATGAGGAGTCGGCTTCTTTCAGGTGAAAGGAGCCGACCAGGGGAAAACGTGGGTAATGGCTCGACCTGATTATCCCTTCAGGATTATATAGACGGGGATAATTAGGGAAAGTAAAGCCAAATTGTTGAAGAATTCGACTATGTAGAAATGTTTGATGTGTGGAATGTGATGATTTTTTTAAATGTTACATGTTTTGTGATGATGATATTGGGTTGTCCGGAAAATAATGCAGGATTTTGGTATTAAACAAAAAAAAAGAAACTAGTTACTTTAAAGCAATGTTCTTTAATCAAAATAANAATGAGTAATCCTGTAAACGTAAACAGAATATTTTATATAGATTTTTTTTAATGAAAACTTAAAATCCTGCATTATTTTCCGGACAACCCAATATATGTATGTATCAATGACAATATCAATGGTTTTCTGAACCTACGTCACACCAGGCTGCATCTCACCATCTCCAAATAATAATCGTTAAATGAAGTTTTTCCAATTAAATAAAAATGTTTTATGTTTCTTTATATTACACATAAAACGAAAATGATAAATTAAACTCATTGATTAGTCAATTTATAGAAAGGTGTACATTACATCAATTCTCCGTAAATAAATGAAGAGAGGCTCATAAATGTGTATGCAGGCCGTGAATAATGAAAACGCCCCCCCTTCTAATCATTTTCAATTGTACCTTTTATTACAGACAGGGCTAGAAGGTGCCATTGAATTAAACTTTGTCATTTCGCCTAATGCACAAGTAACGTGGTATAGATCACGATAAGGGCCCGGCATTGGGGCTGGACGTGTAATTTTAGAGGCTGACTGATAGAGGGGCATTTCCTCCTAGTTTACTCACTCCTTATCGCTAAATCCGAGCCGAGGGCCGGGGGACGGAGTTGTCATTAGTGAAATGTACCGGCATGAAATGTAATGATGCTAAGGCGTTGAATGCATTACCTCAGTCTTTCATTCTTCCAATTAACCCCCTTGAAAAAAAAAAAAAAAAACGTCCTGGGGACAAGAAGGAATCCGCCTACTTTTCCGTGTAAACAGAAATATGTACACTCGACTGCTTTCCACTTTGAAATATTAACACCACTCTCAAACCTTCACACTTATTTCTTAATCTTACTTATTTTCCTTCACGCCGGAATAAAATAGAACTAAAGTTTTTTCGCGTAAACTGCTGATTTAGATAGGGATAAGAATAAGAGAGGCTGCCACAAGGCCTACTGCACCTCGACCTAAATAGATCTATTGTTCTCCTTTGTTAATTATAATTCACTGGTCAGCTTCAGGCTATTAACCAGCCTCCACAGCTTTGCCAGCGGTTCCTTGGTGTAGGATCTTGCTTGTAGTTTTTCTTGTCCTAGTTGCAAAAGTCAGCACCTATATAGACCTTCGCAGAAACATAAAATGTGTTCTCCTCCACTTCCTGGCAGTATCTGCACAGTGTTTCTTCTGTCTGTACTCGTATCCGGCATGTGTTTTCTTAAGTAGCAGTGCCTCGTCAGGAGTACAACCTGAATCCTGGTTCGATTGCGGTTGCCTTTCAGTAATTCTTTTGTATTGCGGATGGTCCTTCTATGAATATCTTCGAGTGCCTCATCCCTGTGGTATTGTTCCACCAGGTTTTGGACTCATGAAGGATCAATTTTCCGAATGTCCAGGGACCCATGGCAGGGTCAGGTCAGTAGTGTCGCTGACTTCCGTCAGGGCCTCCATGCATTTCCGAACACTCTATGCCTTCGCCCCGCATGAGGCTTAGGCCCTGAGAGCTGCCTGGCTGTCTGAGAAATAGTATTGCTCCGGAAATGTATTGCTGATTTAGCTAAACGCGAGCACACAAACAAATAAACAATCACTCAAACACCCTACGTTTTTGCCAATAGTAATGATCAAAGCGAGAATTAGGAGGGCAAAAGTAATTAACCAACTACCAAAACATGTTTGCATAAATCTAGAGAAATATAATAAGGAGGATTAAAAGAAACATTTTAAACGTTTATTTTTAGAATAGTTCTGAATCCTTTAAGCAGAATTTCACGTAATTCTCAAAGAACCAGCTTCTTTTGATAATAACTGCTAATTTTTGCTACTAACTGAAAAGAAAAAAACAATGAATTAGTCGTTTTTTGTTCCACTATATAATAAATTTGATCCTAGAATTATGTAAACAAATTTAATTTTATTGTAACAATGTTATTTCTTGCTACTAACCAAAGTAGAAAAACAACTAAATATAGACTTGAATCTCATAGATTTTTCTACTGAATCTTTAAAAAATAACAAACATAAAAACAGACGATTGCAAAATTACAGGAAAGAAATGAAAATTTTATTTTTAAAATATTTTTTTTCTGATTAGCCTTATATTTTACCATATTAGCATAAAAAAGAACGTTGATGAATGAATAATTAACAGAGTATATTTTTGGTGGGAGGGGAATGATTAAGTCAATTAAATTAATTTTTACTTCAGGATTTTAAAGGTGTAGCGACCGTTTTTTTCAGACGAAAAGCTGTTTTCCCCTTATTTTTGTTTTTCTCCGCTTCTACTGTATGGATTTTACTTTTGCAACAAGTTCCTTTTTTAAAATCGTCTGCAACCCACTTTAAAACGTCTATCACATTCCTGAAGTTTTTCGAAATCAGTTAATTGTTAAAAAATTATAAGTATTCCCCATTTTTAGGACAATTTACCCAAAATTTATTTTAGCTGTTACAAACAGATTATTGGTTTTATACTATTTAGTGGATTAAAAAGTTGTAGGTTGAGGTTTAATCAAATTGATTTATTAATTTTTGACAATCACTAAAGTTGTAAGAAAATTAGACATCTATTTTGTTTCCGAAAAGATTATTTCTTCGCTATAAACTCATTGTTCACCCTTATTAATTGCCTATTAGTATTATTATTAACAACAGACAAACCAAAAATCCTTCCCATGTGAGGAAGATTTGTGAATATTTGTACCCAAACGTGAAAAAATACTGTTCAGGAGAATGATTTTCTGATCAAACTCAAATTTTTTACCACAGCCGGCCAATTTATGTAATAAACACACAAAATTTCCACAATAATTTGTAATAAATTAGCACATTAATTTCTATTGCAATAGGCTTTAGATGCTTAGTTGAGAAGGTAGTTTTTGACATAGAAACACAAAATAAAAGAGAATCTTTAAAAAGCGAAAGGGTTGACAAAACCTAACGCTTTATTCATATTTTTAGAAAAATTTTTAAAAGCATTTCTGTAGAATTTCAAATGATCAGATTCATTCAAAAAAGATTTTTTGTTGAAGTTTAATTATAAACAAATTAATAAACGATTTTTATGTACGAAAAATTAAATACGACCCAATCGTAACATTGTGCTCAGCTTCAGAAAATCTTTTAAAATGCATAATTTAAATTTTAAATGTTAGTCCAGCAGTACTCAGTGAACTTTATGTAGCAAAACAAAATATTTTTGCCTTGGCAATATGTTTTCAAAAGATTTAGTCGCTAAATGAGGAAAATCATTCGGACCATCTAGAAAAGACATACGTCTCCATTATTTTTTTAATCTCTTGTAAATAGATCCAAGCTTTAACATGAAAACAGTTTTTTACAAATTACTTAAAAGCCCGAATAATAAATTAATATTAAAAATTTACAACTACCAATGAATAGTAAATAAGTTTTGGTATATTTACATCATCATGTATAAAAATCAAGGTCCAGCACTGTCTGTTGTTCAACTCGCCTTGAACCAACTTCAGTAGTACTTTTTTGAAATGTGAACTCTCAACAGTTCAAATCGACTGTGGGTTTACAGAACTGGAGACCAAGTCTGTGAATACATGAATTATATTAGTGAAACTTGTGTCACTTGTCTGCCCATTGCATCAATAAATGTTAACTAGCACCCTTAGGAATCACTCCAACTTAATATTATTTATTAATTTTGGTTGTGATAAGTTTTTAATGATTTTATTAAATTTCAGTTTAAAACAAGGTTTTATGAGGCTGATAAAAACAAGTTTAAACGAATATATCTTTTTAATCTATTTTATTTGTATAATTTTATTTTAATTGTTCTAATAAGATAAATTTATGAATTGGGAACAATATCAGATAATAATTACTGTCTTGTAAAACTAAAGCAATTAGGTTTAGGAATATATTCTGTGAAAAAACCGCTGAAAAATATAAAATCTACCGCTAAAATTATGTTATTTGATACCAAAAAAATAGTTAACAACCGAGTTTTTGTTTATTTGATTTAAAATCCGAAAGTGAGTTTCAGAGTCCACATAGTTGACACTGGATTAGAAAAGTTTGTACAAGACAAGAAGGGAAAGCAGAAAAATTATGTCATAACACTTCATTCAGTTTTTCTATCTCATCAAAGTTTGCACGTTTCAAGGCTCCAGGAATAGACTTTTTGTATTTTTTGCCTTGACGAAAACACAAGTTTATCACTTTTATAAGTAATTGGAGAAAATTGTGCCACTATATATATTTTTCATTTTCTACTAAATTATAAATTCATTAATATAGTAAAACCTCTTACCAATTTTAAACAGCTATTTTAAATCTGGTTAATAAATAGCCAGTACGTTAATCTGACGATTTTTTGTTTTTTAATATATATTTAAAAACTTAATAATTAAAATGCTTAAACTCAAAGAAAGTCTGGAGTATTCTTATTTTATGAGATTTTCTTTGCATGACTTTGTGGTGAAGTCTGAACAGAAAAGCACTGAAGATGGCGAGAATCACAAATAGGCCAAATAGACGTAATCAGCGAGGATGTAAGAACCACAATGATCGGAAACGATCAAAATATAAATCTATATGGTATATTGGTAATTATTATTTTTGGCGTTATGAATTTTTAGAGTATTGAAATATGCTTTAATTAATTTTGCAATCTGTAAAATATTAATAGTCAGCTATGAGTGTAAGTAACTTTTGGCAGTTCATTTACATTCACGCGTGAATTTTAAATAAAAAAGTCATAATATTCAATATGTATTTCTAAAATTTTTAGAAAGAGAAATTTGAATTTGCAAAGATCTAGATATTCAAGCATTCAAGCGCGGGATAAATTGCCTTATCCCATCCGAGTGTTGAAAAATTCCCGGCTTTACGCGGTACAGTTCTTCTGGTAAAGGGGAAATGTACGATTTCCGCAGGAAAATTTGTATCGAGTAAAAATGCGGAATGAATGTGGGGGATGCGTTGTGAAAACGAGGCCCGGAGTGATTTGAAGTCGACGGTAACGTGTCTTCAGGAACAAGCAGTGGCTAGGAACAAAGGGCCTCTGATAAAATATATTTCCCCTACGGCCTGTTTACAAGGCGAGGATTTATAAGAGAATAGCGTCTTGAAGTGAGAAGGTACAACATGGACAGACGCATAAACTTGAGTCTCGGGAAACCAAGTGATAACGTTAGTATAAAGCCGGAAAACAGGCGAGAAATTCATTTGCCTTATTATGTCTCTAGTTTTATCGGATTTTACCCATTCCGCTTTTATTATACGCTGTTGTTTCTTTATAATTCTTGTAAAACATTCTTGAAAGCAGACCAATTTTTATAGACTAATGTAAATATAACATTTTCTTGGCATATCTTATTGATTCAATGAAGTTCAACAGAAATGAAATGGCAGAAGTTGTATCGAACCTTACACAAATCTAGCTGTAAATTTTGGTCTGAGGATTTAGACAAATTCTAAAATTTGTTGGTTTTGGTAAAAATTAATTGAATTTTTATTAACATTTTTGCGTTATGTTGCTCATCCATTGGGTTCGTAAAAATTAATGCAGGTTTTGAAAATTTATTTCATTTTCGCAAGTGATTTTCATGTAAACAAAACTAAATCCTTATCTCTAATGTATGAACTATAATAAATACGTTGAACTGTTGTATTTATAAAAAACATTTTAGTTTATATTAAATTTTATAAGAGTGAGGACCCCCGAAATTAAATATGTTTAAACTAGATTTTCATCAAATTTATTTGTACTAATTTAAACTTGGGCAAAGTACGGCCCAAACCAAAACATGAATACAGTTTGGGGAGGAGCGAAGCATTAGGGAATGTTCGGTGCACCGACGGTTTCGGAGATTTCGTCTTGGTTTTTTTGATCTCGAAAACTGGGAAGGTTTTTTAGGCTTTCCGTTGTGGACGACGACCAACTCAAGACAATATGGGAAATTGCGGAAGCGCTTAGTGTTGACCTCAACCGTTGTTCGCCATCTGGAGGAAATTGGTCAACTAAAGAAGCTCGACAAGTGGATACCACACCAATAACCGAAACTTAAAGAAATTGACACTTTTGACACTTTTAAATTTGCACGACTCTTCTTTTGCTCCACCAAAATGATCATTTCCCAATCGGATCATAACGTGCGATGAGAAATGGATTCTGTACGATAACAGGAGGCACAGGTCAGCGGTTGCACTAGGATGAAGCGCCAAAACACTTTCCGAAACCAAATCTGCACCCAAAAAAGTTTATGGTGACTGTTAGGTGGTGTATTGGTGGGATTGTTCACTATAATTTCCTGAATTAATTTCCTATAATTCCTGGCAGAGAAATATTACCAAGAAATTGACAAAATGCATGGGAAAGTGTAACGTATATGTTCAGATTTGAACCGTAAGGGACAGATTCTTCGCCAACTTAATGGCTTATGATATGAAACCTTACAGCACTCTCCATATTTACCCGACCTCTCGCCCTCCATCGTCCCTCAATCTCGACACACGTTTTTACGTATTTTGATCACTTCTTGAAGAATAACATTTTTGGATAACGCGTTGGAACCAAAAATGCTTTCCAAGACTTTATTGTGATTCGAAATAAAGATTTTTTGTCAGCGGAATAAAATCGCTTCTTACACATTGGCAAAGATGTATAGGTTGTGGGGAAAAATAGTTAATATAAATTTTCTTTATTTTACAAAAATTAAAAATAGTTTTGGCTGCCTTTTCAAAACCTGCATTATTTCTGCACCAGCCCAATATATTGACACTGACTGTAATCAAATCTGTTTATTTACATAAGCATTCCTCTGCCGTATAAATTAATCTTTAGGTGATCAACAATCACGTAATATTAACGTGTTTTCTTGTCCTTGTACTAGAACAGGAGGATCAGATGTTTTAGAGTTTAGCATAAAACCGACCCTGTAAGAGGATAAGTGATTTGTCATGGTTCTAAAACAATTAGTGAATTTCTAATTGTCCACTACGCTTGAGTTCATTCCAATTTGGAAAGCGCTGATGACGAAGCCTAAGAGATTTATCCCGCTAAATAGAGGATGAAGGTAAGGAGGCCCAAGGGTCCCTCCCAAGTGAATTAGGAGTAAGTCAAACCCTGGTCTCTGATTGGTGGGATAATAATTGCTTGGCCCGGGTTGACACTCCAATCAGCTTTCCGTACGCCAAATTACCAATTATCTCCACCATTCCTGCTCTTTTCCAACCCTACAACTACGCTGACTCTTCCAGAGTTATCCATAAATCACGTTATCTGGAACCAATGTACGACTGGAGCTGGATTGCTTTGTTCAGCGTAGAATGAGCCAATGTGCTAATCAAAATATGTTATTATTGCCATCGTAAACAGAGTATTCAGAGTCGACAACATTCGAGAAATTAATACGACTACTACTAATGAACAAAATAATTTTGCAATATTTTAAACCTCAACATGATTATTTCACTCTAAGTAAACAAGACTTAGAACAAATTATAGACAATAATATATTTTATATATGTGATTATTTCATAGTACGATATTTGGGCATTATCTAGATCCAAAATCATAACATATTAAAGATTAAAAACATTCATCTATCAATATACATTGATTAATAGATTAAAAGAAAGAAAAAATGTTCCGAACGTTTCTTTATCACAATGGTTACATCATTTCATTCAAACAAAACTTTTTCAAACGTTTTAAATGATTTTTTTTAAATTAATGATTTCTGGCGCGCTGGTTGGCCGCAATGCGAAATTTATATATATATTTTTATATATATATATATATATATATATATATATGTATATTTTACTTTATGTATTTATATCTACAACATTATTATAAATAGGCACTCTCAACACGACAGACAAGAATGACACATCTACACAAAAACAAACACTTTGAGCCCTGAAGATGATCTCAATGAACATCGAAACGTTGGCACGACAAAGAAAATGTTACGACACACCAGACCGCATCTCACGACCTCCTAATAATTATTATAAATTATTCCTTGTATGTAAGGTCTTGGGTAAAATGAAAAAGTTAGTTTCACGAGCAGGATTCGAACCCACGACCTTCGGCTCATTTCAACCAAGTCCATACAAACAACGAATAATTAATTGAAAGAAGTAATTTGGTCAATCAGACCACTAAACATAATGGGTTATTATAAATAATTAGCAGATTTGATCTAATTGAGAGTAATTGGCATTATAGAGAAAGCTACCCAATGGCAGTCGCTTTGGATTAATCCTTGAAGAGGAGGTCTCATATCCATATTTTTTCAATCGTCGATGGATTGTGGGCAATTTACGTAGGTTTTGATGGACGGAAAAACAGTTAACAGGTGATCTATGTGATTGTTGACAGGGGGCACAAACAATTAGTTCAATCTTCAATTGAAAACTTTGTAATCTTTGAATATCGGTAAACTTGACACCCGTACATTCATAAAGGCTTGAGAAAGTATGTGTATGACAAAAGGGTTGATTTTAATGGTAA